TTTTTTTTTTTTCTTTAAATTAATGTTTATTTTATGCAACATCTTCAAGCATGAAGAGCTTTCGAAAAAGCACCTTCGAATTCTTATATCAATTACGTCCATAACTTCTTATGTATATACTTTACTATATATAAGAACTAAATTTACATGATATTTCAACAAAAAAACGCTATCAGGGAGCAGACATTTATACATAAAATTATAAAAACAAAATATGACTAAAATTAACCTCATTTGAACTTGTATAAAAAGTTGTCTAAAAACGTTTTAATAGGACGGGTTAAAATTAATATTATTTGTGACTGTTTTACAGCATGAATATCCTAAATCAGTTATATGTATTACGCATATTCAAGAAATGTATTGTCGTAGACAAAATCAAGTTCATTTTTGACAAGGGTAAGTATTGTTTCAGAAGGGTATGTAAAACCACACCAATTATCTACGTAATTAATAATTATTATCTGACATAAAACGATATTGATATCTAATCAAACGAAAGTGTACTAAATTTTAGTTCGAGTAACTTCAGAAATGAAAAAACTGACAATGGCTATCAATGAAGAACTAGTGGTAAATAGAACAATGAAACGACGATTAGCAAAGCTTAGCGGAGTGCAAACAATGTGTTTGGAGGCTAGGATGCCTTTGATTGTACTGTAGACCATTTCTTCAAGCTGTTCTCTCATTCCTAATTCTTCTACAATTGGTCTTCAGTTCCCCCTATTCATTAAAAAACAGTGTATCTACCTTTTTTCTATCTGTGTTATTAGTTTGTACACTCCCCTTGCCGTTCTCTGATATGTTAACATAAACCTTGTATGCTCAAAGTCATTAATCATAGAAAAAATAAATGGAAATTATTGATTGTATCACATCAATTTCTCCGCACACTTTACTCCGTTTGTTTTGTAACTAGTTTTTCACTTGAATCCATGTAGCTGAAGGAAGAATTAAAGTTTTAATTCCATCATTTCATCTAAATAATAACAGTGTATTATTATTATAATACCAAAGCGTATATCCATGAGGTGATAAATCTTAGTAATTGACTTTTAAAGGAAGCACCACTTCTTTGGCTTTGTCAAAAATAAGAGTAATTAAAAAATGGAAATAGTTATATGAGATAACATCACAAGTAAGTGCTTTTTAAGAAATATGTAATTTCTTTATTTTCTCTGAATTTCTTTGCGGAGACGTTATTAACACGAGAGTGTATCTCATTAAAGTCACTACTTGACGCGAAAGCTGTGGATTATAGTAACCTTCCAGTGGCAAATCCAGCCACCAATACACATTGTCTGCATTTGTTTCCCGTGTGTATCATATATTCAATATATTGTTGCCTAATTTGTTTTTCTTAAATATTGATTATTAAGTTCACACAGTCTAAACTGTAGAAACAAATATGGTGTTCAGAAGCCTAAACACAGTTCTCACGTCACTCAGGTAAGTGCATATTTACACTTAATGTAATAATGACGCTTCATAAGTGTCATTGTACTATCTTCTGAGAAATGATACGACATGAATGAATCAATGCAAGGAAACAAACTTAATGATTTAAAAAACACAGTGATACAAGTAATGCTCTGCTTATCAATTAATGTAAATAAATATTAAATTTGCAAGAGTTAATATATTGCATGATGTTGCTTGGGTTACGTAGGGCAATATAATTGTCAGGAGAAGCTACAATGTATACTCCAAGGTACTAATATTTGGCACTACAGTCCCTGCTATAAATTATGTTCTCTCTATACATTTTACACAATTTTCTTACATTCTAACCGCACAACCTTACCGTTCCAAATATCTGATCTGTTTTTAAAATACATGCATCCTTACACGTTTAAACATGAGACTGCAGTGAAAAATTCAGTGACCTTGAATAGCAAACTATACTTGACTTTCGAGCAACAGAATGTATTGTCAACACCGACAGGGCAAGAGAAAATATAAGTAATCATCCTTAATCAATAATATAATTTGTGAAACAAGCTGGCATGGCATATGGTATCCTCTAAACACAGTCTGCACTCCACTAGCTCACCTTTTTTTTCTTACCATTGCATATTGTCTTGTAAATTAAATAAAAATTTTTTAACTGTGTCAAGTTTCAAATTTGATATTTAAAGACACTCTTTCAGAGATATATCTGTTTCAAAAACTATACACAAATATAAATAAATCTGTAGTAGTTATATCTTCATTGTTAATTTCACAATGACAATAGGTATATATTTCAACTTTCGCGATGAAACTTGACACGACATTCGTACTTGCATTAATATAACGCAGCACTTAAGCTACACGAATAACGCCGTCCTAATAAATACAATTAATAAGCAAGATTTAGCAGCTTAAGAAGATATTTGCGATGCATTTGTGCAGTCAAACCCCATTTAAAAAATCATTTTATATCTACTTTGCAACTTCACCATTGCATATATTGCATCAATAATGTTGCAGCAATGTATTCGATTGTTTGGTTGCCAATACAAAATTATTTAGGCACAGAGCTTGTCATTCTTTTTAAATTCTTTTCAAAGTCATCACCAAATCATGAAGCATTAAATGCTATTTCCATTTTCTTGTAATAAGGAATATTCTAATTCCATTGTTTACACTTTTTAAGTGTTCTTTTTATCTTTTTTTAAAAAATTAATGATTAATACATTAAAAATTAATACTATATAATTATTAACACGGTACCTTTTACTTAATATAAAATACATAAAAATTTGTTTCAGTAACTTTATATAAAAGTTACAGTTACTTAAGAAAGATATTTAAGAAAAATCATTGATACAGAAAGAAAAATAAAATAAAAATAACTTATAGCAACTGAAACATAAAAGAAAACATGCATAAACAGTAACATTCTCTCTATGCAATGAAAATAACATCAAAGAAAAAAAAAAAAAAGGAAAGAAATGATTGTATCTCTTTTATTAATATTTATGTAGTAAATATTCGCATGAAATGGTGAATAACTTTATTTGAAGTAACTAGGAAAGATTCACGTCTATGATTTTTATGTATCATTTAAAATGATAAAATTTTTTTAAACTCTTGAATATTTCAAAAATTATAAATAAAATTTATAAAATTTCATCTACAGAAACTATAAATATTCCATAAAATATTAAGAAAATAAAAATGTTCAATATTGCGTGATTATTGATTAGCAGGTATATTGTCTTTATATTTCCGGGCATAGACATGAATAGAAACCTGTGCTCTATGAAAGAGTTACTAAATAATGAATATTATGAAAAATTTTGACTAAAAATTTTCTAAATGAACAGTCGCAAATAACCCCATAATTTTAAATCTCACAGAAAAATTAGTTGATATTTTCATGAAAACTACTTTTTAAGTAGTTTATTGTTCCCAAGTAAGGGTCTAATAATAGCAACAGTTACATGAGGTTCATATCTAACCTGCTTCACTGTCGCTTGAATCACTGGTGCTCGAAGAAAGTGAACTACTGCTGGAATCACTATCACTGCTACTACTGCTTGATGCTGACAATCGCGAAGGCCCACTAGCTCCTCCAGTTCCAACTACATCGACTGATTTACTACTGTCTTCTGTCAAACAAATTTTAGAAAATTGTAATTACGTTAAATTTTAATATCGATTTGTATTCATAAAAGAAAAAGTTACATGATATATATAATCAAAGTACTAACCTTTTTTAGGAGCTTTCTTAACATTGCCTAATTGCCCTGTAACATCCTGTAGTCTTTTCTCTAATTCCTGCTTTTTCTCTGCCATTTGTTCATCCTTAGATTTACCACTCACTTTTTTATCTGTGAAGAATACAAAAATGTCGAATATATTAAAAACAATATATATAAATACATATTATTTATCGAACAAAATATAATATTAAAATAATAAATATATTTAAACAAATTATGATAATTATTTATAATTCTAAAATAGTAAATCATAAGAGATAGATTAAATTTATAAAATCATAAATATTATGATTATGTATTTATCTTATTTCATTATTATTAGTTTAGTTAGTTTATTTATTCAAATATAAAAATATTTTGTTTCAAATTAATTGGAAAAAAGATAGTGACCTAATTATAAAGCTATAATAGAACCTAAAATGAAGCTTACGTGGCTTCTTTCTAAGACACGAAGCAACGTAGCTCTCTAATTCCCTCAATGTGGATGGTTTTAACGTTTCAAAATCAATTTCAATTTCATCTGGATTGGAGTCCCTCAATGAAGGTTCTCGAGATTGTATTATGTGCACAACACGTCCTAATTTATCTCCTGCAATAGAAAGATAAACGAGTAGTAACAAAGATTTTTTATGTCTAAAATAAATTTTTATATTTCATATCACTAACAATTACTTACCAGGTAATTTATTAATATCCAAACTAAGTTGTCTTTTTTCGTCGTAAGACATTGGTTTAGCGTTATCTTCATCTTCTGAGTCAAATGTAATTGGTGGTGGTTGACTACTAGCATTTTTCTTTTTAGTTCCAGCTGATCTACTATTTGCTTTTGGCCTTTTATTTGCAGTATTCGCTGTTGCAGCTTTCCCGGGCCCTCTTCCTTTCCCCTTTGGCTTAGCATTTGCCGCCGTTGGCAGATGATGACTCATGCTTCCTGCTGCATGAGTTTTGTTAGGTCCTACCGCTATTGCAGGATGATGAAGATCACCACCCATACCACCAGGCATTTTTAAATCACCTGCTCCCATTGCAACACTGGCTATACTAGCACCAACACTATCAGAGACACTTGGGATTCCACCACTTGGTTTCATTAGTTCCTTCATGGCACCAGTATGACTGGCAACTAGACTACTACTTTTATTGCTCATTGGCCTTGACTTGGACTTATCCGGTTTCTTTTTTTTACTTTTTTTCTTACCACTTTCTTCCACTAATTTCCTCATTTGTTCTTGCATAGCTTTCAGCTATAAATCAAGTTCATTTTTGATACATTTATAAAAAGAATTACATCAGTATCAAAAATAAAAAAATATATAATATACATATACATAATATATATACATATATATACCTCCTGCTGTAAAGCAACTAATTTTTGAGTACGTTCTTCATCTGAATCATCACTCTCAGAAGAAGTTTCAGATCCAGAACTAGTGGCACTACTACTGCTACCTTTCATACCAATCATACTTCCCATTGGTTCATCCGGGATTTTCGCGTATCTAATTCATCAAAAATCTTATTTTGTCAAGTAAGACAAGGAGAGTAAATAAATTTTAGCATCGACATTCGTAAAAACGAACCTCATTTCGAATACATCTTGGAGTTTCCTAGCCATTGCAACAACGTCATGGTCAGGAGGATTATATTTATAACAATTAGTAAATATAAGTCGAACATCACTAGCAAACTCTTGTGCTGTTTTATATTCACGATTATCCATTTTTGTCTGCAAAAGAATAATCGTATCAATAAAATAATACATAGTTTTTTAAAGCAATAGAATCAACTACATTAATCTAATCAAAATACATTAATGAATACTACCTTTACAGTACCAAGATCCATTGGTTTCTTGATAATATCGTGATAATCGTGAAGACCTAAGAGTTCTGCATCAACTGGTTTATAAAAGGGCCATGCATATCCCTATACAAGATAAAAATATACATTATAAATTGAAAAATTGGCTTAATATGTATTTGTCAAATATAATAGTTAATTACCGAATGCTTTTTTGAGAATAATTCTTTCAAAATCTCATTACAAGATTTCAAAGCTTCTGAAAGTTTTTCTTTCGACTTTCCAGTAGTATGTTGAGGCTGAAAAAAGATATAGTATAATATAGTAAATATATCTAATTATTAAAAAAATTAAGAAATTACATTCTTAAATATTGTAGACTGCAAGAAAAAAATTATCAACTCATGAAAGTACTTTTAGTTTACACTGTGACCTAAATTGAGAAATAAACAAAATATATGAATAAAAAATTCATGCAGACAAAATTGGTATATTATTTTTTTTTTTTTTATATATTTAACATGAAATGATAAGACAACACAAATGAAAGGAAGGAGCATGAAGGAGTAGTAATAAATGTACCTGTTGGGCCATTGCCCCGATGAGGGGCATGTTGGCCTGGTGGAATGGCACTAAGCCGTCTTCTGCTTGCCTCGTTGGCTGAAACAGCCATGTTGTGAACTTTTTGTTAATGGATGATATATGATTATAACATACAAGGAGCAAAAATATAGTTGAATACACCTTAGTTTGTTTGGTGATTATTAAAAATTTATATAGATGATAAACTTTTACCGAGGTGATAAACTTTTTTTGTTAAAATTTTATCGCGAATACAAAACGATAAAAAAAAATTTAAATACACTTTTTTATAACTAATATACTGCATCAGCTTTTCTGATCAAATAATTTTTTCAGGTATGTGTGATTAAATGATGAATAGGTTGCATGTTCAACATGAAGATTGTACGAAAACACGCATTTTAACAATAATTAACATTTTAACGTTTCGACAAAAACAAGCATTTTAACATTTTAGACAAATCTTAATTACACTTATTAAATAGACAAAATATAATTTTTACCTTCTTTATTTGTCTGCCAGACTCTCGCCTTGTGGGTATTTTGGCATTTTTAGGATCCATTTTATATAAAGGTTCAAAAGAATTCGCAGTAGGAGTTGTAGTATCAGCTTTTCTCTTCACTCCTTTTTTAAGCTTCGCTGGTTGGGATGGAGGCATTACCGTTGGTGCCGTGGGAACTTGTGGAGGAGGAGGCACAGCAGAAGCTGCTTGTGGATCCATTGCTGGTTGTGCATGGTAACCACTAGTTGGAGGGACCACTTGTTGAGGCAAAGAATTATGTGTAGCCATAGGAGTAACTCCCATGCTCGATGGAGGAGCAATAGTAGTTGTATTAGTGCTCCCAGGTACAGAAGCAGGTGCTTGAGTGCCAAGAGGAGGCATAGGAATTACACCTGTTGTTCCAGCCGATGTAGCTGAAGGTGTTAAACTATTTGGTACACTGGAAGTAACTGCAGCTGCACCAGAGGAAGGTCGGCCTCGACCTGTACCTCCTGCACTTCCTGCTACACCACCTACTGGTGCCCCAACTCTACCAGCTTTTTTACCTTTAGGTCCCTTTGGAACAGGGGGTTCTAATTCCACCTCTTCCTTTGGCATTTGTGCAACCTAGTTTCATTGATATTTATTTTGAATTATATTATAAATTATCATTATAATATATATTTTTCTAATCACTATCAACATTTTAAAAATCTACCTTTGTGAGAAATAATTTTTCGAGAGCTTGTGCCATAACCACAACATCTTCTCCAGGTTTGTTATAAACATAACAATTGGTAAACATCGTATTGAAGTCTTGAATGCATTCTTTTCCACTCCAATAATATGTATTTTCTAATCGTTTTTTGATTGTGCCCAAATCCATTGGTTGCTTTATAATTTTGTGGTAATCCTATTAAATTTGTAATTATTTAATTGAATGATAATATTTTTATATTTCCTAATATTTCTATAATATTGTTAACATTTAGATAATAAAATGAATACATTAAAAAATAAATATATCTACATACTGGTAAATTTAGTTTTTTGGCATCTACAGGTTGCTGAAAAGGCCACGCAAATTGATGCTTCCATACTGGCTTGAGTACACCTTTTTGAAGAAATTGTAGTTGATTAGTAACACGCCCTGGGCGATTAGGTGGAGGCACAACAGGTGGTTGGACTACACCATTCACAGGTTCCACGGTTGGTTCATCACGTGGTGGTGGCTCCTTCACAGGAGTTGCTGGTGTAGTTGATGTCTTACCAGGTGCACTCGTCTGCATTACCCAGTTTATACTTATATATTTGTTATCAATGCAACTTTATTTCATTAGTTAGTTCTATAACTACTGTTGTTATATACTATTAAATTCAAGAATGAAAATAAAATTCTTCTGCAAAGCACAAACTGAGATCATGATTTCTTTTTTACATGAAATTAATAATTAAAATCATAAATAATGTTACTATACAGCTCATGCTTTGATATTCTATTGCCTTTATTTTTTTATAAAATCTTTTTCTTTATAAATGAGACTATGGATTATTGTTTTTTAGCAAAATAGTTTTTCAAAATTTTATTAATAAATATTTTTAACGCAACAAAATTAAATAATTTAATTGACTTATTTCATACAATTTTATTATGATATACAAATTTATAAATAATAATCATGCATCATAAAAATAAACCCATTCGTGCAATGAGCGAATTAGGCTGCTAAATATTTAAATTCCATAACCACAGGCAAGCAATTTAGAATGTTTTTTAACAGAAGTCTAATTGAATATTGAATAAAAACATATGTATGTTACAAAAATATTTCCAACTCAAACATAATGGCAACTCTAGGTCATTTCATACAATCATGCAATTGAAATATAATAAAGGGAATGTAAACAAAAAAGAAAACAAAGATAAAGCAAGATTAAATAAAGCAAAATAAAACAAAAATAAAGTCTTTTTGCTATGAAAATACTCTATTTAGAGTGTATAAAAATTTGTCCAAATTGTATTTTATACGAAATGACTTGCAAGCTTAAAAAACAAATAAACAAATAAAATTAAACAAATAAAATTAAAATATATTGAGCAAACAGTATCTTGCTTCATAAATACTACATAAGAAATATTTATTAGTTTATATATAATTTTAATGTTTTTATACTTTTCTTCTTTGAACATTTCATTTCTTATTTTGTTTGTATATAATTCTATAAAAATATAGAAGCAAAACCACAAATTGCTCATAATACATATTTGGAGCTGCCATTTCATATTTTGACCATACATATCCTAGTTGAAACAATAGTCAACAAGGAATCTCACCTTCGGTATATTACACAGCCTTTCTCGCTCCTCCACATCTAACTGTAATTCATACATACCATTCAATCAAACAACGCTCAATTTCATTACATAAAAAAAATATGCTCAGCATGATACCAGGAGTAAGGCATACGCAATATTTTAAGTTTTATTTTATTTTATTTTAAAGAATGTAAATAGTTTAAAAATAGATAGCAGACATAGTTTACAGCATTAGGAGGATGGTTACAAAACTATATATCTAATTTAAAAAGCATATTGAGCTTAAAATTTTAATATTAATTATGTCTCTATTTAATAATTTTAAATTAAGAATTATACAAATTTTATATAAATACTAATCAAATCTATATAAGATTATTTCTGACATTAAAAAAATAAAAAAAGAAGGAAATAAAGTCAATATAATTAATATGATTTAATATCAAGTACAACAAAAGAAAATCTTTCCTACTTCTTAAAATAAACTAAGTAAACTTTAAAATAAATGAAACGACAAATCTCCATATGCTGTTTAACACAATGTGTTGACTATATTAAGGTCACCCAAAGGAAATATATATAATTAAATACAGCTTTTATATAAAGCATTAGTAAATTAATAAGCAAGCTGCATTTTAAATTAATATCTCATAAAATTAATCTATAACTTACCGAATTATTTTGCGAGATAGTGTCCACCTGCTGCATCTTGGCTTCGTTTCTGCAACAGAAAAATACAAATGTGTAAATAAGTTTTAAAAACAAATGATTTAAAAAAAAAGGAATAAAATAGTCAGTATTAAATTTTATATCGCATTGTGGGTTTATAATATCATGATCTTTAAAATTTGCATACAACCTATTTTACTTAATCATTGTAACATAAAGTCACGAAATACCACAGTTTCCAATATTTTTCAGTAACCACTTTTATTGCCTTCTCTCGAAATTACAGAATTCACTATAAGAGAGATATCAAACTCCGACTGACACAATCATACTTCACATTTCATAAAATAATTAGATGTATTTTATAATATAAGGCTCATCAAGTCCACGGTAATGAGCTTCACCTACCTTTCCGACATATACTGTACATAAATGTTATGCAGCAGGTAACTGCCTTACGTTGATGCTTGAGGCTATGAGGCTTCATCAACAATTGAGATGGCAAGGATATATTCTGAATTGAGCATGGTAGCTTACTAATTGCTTGCCAAGATGATTGCGCTGCAACCAGGAAGATTGGTGCCGTGGAGGCATAACACTACTCAAGCCTACCAAATGGTAGTACTTTGAATGTCAGCCCTGTACACTGCTGTGAGACTCCGTACCTCCAGCCAAGACTCGCGACATTAGCAACATCTGGATAACATAACAACAGGACCCCGTATTGTAACAACCCCAAACTGTTTTATCGCTTTAGAGCAAGTTAAACATTGATTTATTTTCAAGTTATTTGTGTATATGTACGTATATATACACATTGCTATGAATTATTTAACATATCATGCAAAATTGAATGTATGAGATACATGCTTGATTTGTAATTTCTTCTTTTTTATACATAAACTGACAATATCTATTGGTCGCTATACCAAAACACGTTCAAATTGCTCTTTTAAACCTTTCCTAACTATGAAGTTATTGCAAACTTATTTTTGTAACTGAAAACTACAATTTGTGAAACAGCAGTAAGACAGAATGCATGTATCAAAGTTAACAATGCTTATTCAATGTTTATTAATATCCAGATACTTATAAAAGTTCCTTGAATACAAAAAAAGAATTATATCTTCTTGCATTAATCATAAAGAATAATAATCCAAAAAACGTGATTAAATTGTGCTATAAATCTGCTCTTATGTATCTCGTCATAGAAATATACATATAGATAGTATCATAATTTACAACCTTCTATCCAATATCATAGTTCTTTGTAATAAATGTAAAGTGTGAAATTAATTGTCAATAGAACAAAGTTCCATATAATGAAGTTACAAAAAATATCAAGAAGATGTATGTAAATAACACATATAATGCAAAAACTTTAAAAAAGAGAATGAATCAATCAGGAACATGGTGTCCAAAGTGTAATACTTCTGACACATGGTGATCTGCAAATGTATACAAGAGTCAACGTGCATACCCTATTGTTCAAAACCAGTGTAAGCCAAAATGGAAAGTTTGATAAAAGTAGCACAAATAACTGGTACACTGGTATAGAAAGTGAGCTGACTATTAAAATACAAAATTGACAATGCATAGGAAAAAAACGATGTTGTGAACGACCATAAGATCTCGACCATGGGAAGCAAGAGCTTCTGCCGTGGCGAAGAGGAATATTGCCAGAACAATCCATGCCGCGAAGACGTTTTATTCGTAGAGTATCAAGGGCAGAGATAAGAGAATTCGCGGGTCGAATAAAGTACTTGGTGGTTAAAAGTTGTTAAAGTAAGAAAGGGGAAAGGTAAGAACCGCGAAAGACGATCGCAGAAAAATAAACGCGGTAGATGCAGGAGTGGAAAGAGGAGGAGACAAGTAGGAGAGGATGTCGAGGGGAAGGGTAGCAGACCCGCGCCCAGCCGATGCACCCAGCCGACGCACAACAAACACGAGCAAGCCGCCGTGTGAGAATCTAGCCGAGCGCTCGACTGGCGCAGAAATCGCCAAATGTTTCTCACACTAGAGAGTTGTGGCGCGCGCGAAATAGCCGAGGCGCCTTTTCGGTCACTCGATTTGGCGTAGGTTTCAACATGGCGGTATGGCCGCTCAAGAAAGAAAGCTCTCAAGGGCCCGCCGCTACAGCCGCCACTTACGCACCACCACGACACACACCACGCGCTATACTTATCATCAACGGAGCCAGAAACTTCAGAATTACTTGCAATCACTTACCTGATCAATGGAAGTCCACTTTTCACAGGAATTCTATCGAAAAACACTACCACTACGTCTTGGACACTCGCACTACGCTTTCTCCCTGCTTGCTAGTTTGGTTGGTCGGTGTTATGGCCGTCGCCGAATGTGCCCCACCGTATCACTCACTCACTCTCACTCGTGCGAGCGCGAGCGCTCGGTTCGCATACACGACGAACGCGGACGCTGCCCGACCAACTAGTTCCACACTTACGAATACAAACGTCGATCTCTCGTACTAATATTGTATCAGTGCCTCGTACTGGGCTCCACCGACATTTTCCTCGAGTTTCGTACACTCGAATGGGTTTCCGTGCCCATGACGATCTCGGATCTAGAAACTAACGATCGCAGCACCAACAATGGCTACGCATTCTTCCGCGACGTACTGAATGGTCCTGTTCCGCTGTTTCTCGAACACGACCTGTCTATCCATTCCCCTCGCTGTTCTACCATTCCGAATTTTGTCGAACTAACTCGAACAATAACGCGCCAATTTCAAAAATCGTTAACAAACGTTTGAAAATTATATTGATTTTGAATTCTAGTTAAAAAATCTTTGTTTATAACGGCTATATTAACTATTGATTCGTTACAGCTGCGTACCATGGTAATTTATCATCATCGAAATTCGCCTCTATCGCCGCAAGTCTATTTCAAAATAACCGAGTGTAATTCCAATTCAAAATAAATTCCACTTTCGCTACTTCATTACAATATTTTATAGCAAGGAGAGAGACTAGGATTCACAGGGTACAGGTACATAATAATTAGACAATTTTATTTTCAAATTGACACTGAATTTTATTATATATTTATTAAAATATAATAAATATATATCCAAAAATTAATGGTTAATTTCCATCGTTCCATGTTCACCCATAATGCATTTTTATGTAAGTTGAAATAATAATTTATAAATATAAACATTAATAAGTAAGAGCAACAGAAAACAAAATAAATTTTAATACTATTCGTAATTGGTAATTTTCTTTTTTGAAATATAATATTAAAATTTATTAATCACCGCGCAAGTCGTGGTTCGATTCCACGATTCTATAGTTACTGCAATGCATTTTGGGATACATGCAAAATCTATAACTATATTTCACTTTTAACACTTTTAAATAATTAAAATAAAATTAAGAATAATATAATAATTAAAATTTTCATTAGTACGTAATGATTTTTACACACAATTCAAATGATATTTTGTCATGACGTGTCATACAAAGTTCCGTTACACATTGAGACATGTAAGAGACAATTGTCTCTTGATTTGTCATATATTTCAAACGAAATACAAATTTAACTCGTAGAGAACGAAATTTTTGAAGTAGAGCTAATAACGCCCTTGAATAAATAAACTACTAAGCTTCTAAAATCTTATCAATGACAAAGTAAATAACGCATCAATAGTCTAGAAATTCGTGATATTGACTACGGTAGTCAATTGGACAATTATGAAATTCATCACATATTACAAATTATATCGTTAAAGAAACACTGAATAAAAAAGAATTTCACAATAATTTGGATTAGTATTTATAAAAATTTTCTATTATGTATGTACATTGACACAACCAGCTATGGCACTAAATCACAAAATGGCGTCCCTTAGACGAATACTATCACTTTTTAGCAATTTACATTATTAAAACTTGTCACTTTGAACAAAGACATTGAATCACAGAAACGACAGACCTTAAGATTTAGAAAATAACATAGTACGGTCTTAAAAAAGTAAATTATATGAAGATAAAGAAGTGTTCTAAATACTTAAGATTAACGACCATTTTAGCTTTGATGACGTAATGAAATACGAAAGTCAAAAAAGAAACTAGATATTTACGACTCGATGTTAGTGCACACTTCCGGTGTTTCGGTCGTCATTAACTATCACGTTCTAATCGGCGATTGGTGTACTTTTGTAGAGCGTTTGAAATGAACCAATCATTTGAAAACCAATATTGATGAGTCATTTTGTTTAGGATTTTCCATTGGGTATTTGAGGTACTCCAAATACAGATGAATTGAATAAATATAATAGAATTTTGTATATCTTTATTTATATTTACATGTCATTCTCTTTTCATTTCATTTAGTATTTTATAATTATACAAAAATTACTTACGTATCACTTACGTGTATAATACAAAAATAACAAATTTCAGGATTAAATAAAACTAACATACATTATGTATATTAATGTGTATTAACTTGATATTACATTATTCCCCAAACTTCTTCAAATGCAGAGCATAATTTGCTACATGTTAAAGCACCAGATAATGGATAATTACTTATAGATATTACATCTTCTACATAATCTGGCTTTACCTGTAATTTCAGTTATTAATAAGAGTGATAGAACTAAATAAGATAATATAGAACAATGTAACCTATTTAACATTCGAAAAACTTACTTGTCCATGTGCCATTGCACCTACTGTGATGGCTATTGGTTCATCAGGAGGAACTAATTCTCGTGGATTTTGCACTTTATTTGCACTAAATGACATTGCAATTTTACGACATCCAATTGGCAGATGATCAGTAACTGGATTTTTAATTACTTTCAATAGTTTCATTGGACCATCACTAGCACGAACACTAAATTTATGTAATAATTGTACTGCAAGATACAAAACGAGTTAATAGAAAATATAAATTGCAAGTAAAGTATAACAAACACATTATGTATGTTTCCTTTTAATTGTTTAAATTTAAATTGTTTCATGATTAAAGATCATATTAATATAATATGTTGAATAGTTGAAAGAATCTATTAAACTTAACATGTAAGTTCTTTAAAAAAGGCTCTTCTATCAATATGATTTTGTAAAAACTTAAAAATATAACTATATAGAAGAGTAATATTTTAATTTAATTTAATTAAATTAAATTGATAGACAACTGATTTGACATGATGATGATTAATAATAAATTACTCCCCAGATAATGTGATCTACCATGTTCTTTTTCATCTAGGCATTTTAGCTTTTTGAAATATTAATTATTTATGATTACCCATAAGACCAGCAAAACGTTTAAATGTTCTTGGTATCCTGGTTTGTGGATTTACTTCTATCAATACATTCTTTTCTGTATGGATGTAAACTTGTAAAAGTCCAGCTCGATTTAGGGGACTATCCATCAACATCAATAAACATTGATGAGCAATATCTGGTCTACATGTACCAGGATCACGATTATTCTTTTTCAATATGCTAATGTGGTCATCACAATTCAATAACTCAAAACTATTTCCAACCTGAAAAAATTTCGATATAAATTATTATTATGATCTATAATGCAATTATTATTACACTGTTTATAATATTAAATTTATTTATTAATGATTTTTATGTATATATACACCTGTGCATGTATGCGCGCGTGTCGCATTATATACAAAACAATTGCATATATGCACACACATAAAATATCTATTCTAAATAACTATTAATAATGAATTTAAAAATCTGTTGTTAATTAATAAATAAAATAATCGGCACTCGATCATGAAGACAAATATAATCTTACCTTAACCGATTCTAATTGAGCTTTCTCTAAAATAATAATTAAACGCTTCTCTTGGTTTTTAATATGAGCAACGTGAAGATGTTTAGGTGCTGGATCATATTCAAAGTCGTCATTTCCATTCCGATTTTTACGTTTTTGACCCATCTTTATCAGAATTTTACTGAAAGTACAAATTTTAATAACAATAAAAATATACTTAGCTGCTGATATATGTAAACAACGGCTACTTAGAACAATGCTAGAACTATCATTTTGCGAAGAATAAGAGAGATGCTGCCATATTGCAACAAGAGAAAACTATATATACATTTTGGCCGTCTACAACTGATGGCAGCACACATCCTGTACGAATGCTGCTGCCCTCTAAGCATTTTTAATTTTAATTGGAACTAGAAGAGTTAAATGAAAAGACTCGGTAGATAGCAGCACCCATTTCGTTCGTAGACAAAGAGCGCAGTAGCATGTGACAAAGATAGATGCATGTACGTAGTGTCCATGTCCATAGATAGGCATATACTTTAATACATTCAATTCAATTTTCACTTGCAAGAGAACTAATCAAGAGATTCAATTAATCTGTGAATTTTTATTAATTAGTTTTATTATTTAATAAATTTTATTATTTTCATTTGCAAGACAACTAATCAAGAGATTCAATTAATCTGTGAATTTGTATTAATTAATTTTATTAATTAACTTATTATTTATACATCGTACGAATTACATTGTAAAGGTACACTCTGCTTTTTCACTATATTTCGCTCGAACAATATTTAATTCCTTGTTGATAGATGTAGTTAGAACTCATTTAAAAAACTGGCGTATCTTCTGCACGCGATTAAAGATGGAAATAAATTTATAAGGAAAAGTAATAAACAGTTAATGATAAATCAATTTATTATTTCTCTAGCTAGTGCCTATAAATGGTTGCTAGCGTTAAAACAAAAAGGAAACATATTTGCAGAACAAGTTCACTAACAACGAGAGGATTCATCTTCTAAAGGTAAATCCTTTTCGACGACTTTTAATATCGACCAATTGTTGTGCCTGTTTCTTGAGAGTGTTTCTAGTTGGCACATCCTCTTCGTCTTCAGAAGGCAATGTGGCCTGTGTTGCTGAGGATGGAAATCGCGGAAAAAGTGGCCCTCCATTTGTGCGCGTTGCCTTTCCCTCCACTGAGGTAGTCGTAATCGATACTGTTTCCAACTAAATAAAGATTCTTTAGAAAAATAAAATATTGTTTGATCACGAACAATAAATATCATACGAAACAGCCAAGATCTTCTGGCACCTGCACTGTGAGGGATGATGATGTTGAACATCTTTGAAACTTACCTTATCAACCGATACTTCGTTCAATACTTCCAGATACTTGTCTGGTCCTCCGAAAGTTTCAATAATACTCGTCGCCCTTTCGTTCATTAAATTTATAAGTTGCAAAGGCTGTTGGATTTCTTTTGCTTCTCTAGGTAACGTATCCATTACATCCTAAAAGTGAGATGGTGGAAAAGATATTTCCTCAAATTGTGTCTGTCGTCGTCTAAAATCGTCCAAAGCAAAAAGTAGACAGGCAACATATACAAGTTGTTATTTCGTTTGAGACAATTTGATTGAACTTTCAAAAAATCCTGTAAAGGAAAGGTTGAATTTCAAGAGAAGATGTTTTTCCAGTATTTGACACTCTCAATATTTATACACGCTCAGCAGTGTTTCCGAGGGGGGGGGGGAAATCCGTAGAAGGAGTTAACGACTAAGGGCAATACGTTCCTCGAGATCGATTGAATCAATAATTGATTTTCTCGTGGTTCGACGTTCTACCGAAGTGTTTACTTTCGATTAGGTCCAAAGGTGTTAATCACTTGCAGACTTAGGACAGCGGCTTCTTAAGGTGAGAATTACAGGCAGGGATTGTTCACGGAAATTCATTGGTCAACGACTAGCATGTCCGGGGGTGTTAAATCTTCGGAGAGACAATATAATGGCTATGAAAACTCGAAGCGGTTCCATTGCGGTAACCACCGCATCGATGGTGGCTTCACTAATTTAATTAGAAATATATACATGGTATTTCCATTTTAACATGTCTGCTTACAGAATGTTCGATTCCGTCGATGTGCTAATTCATCGAGATATTTCTTTCCGTTTAGAAACCAACAGAAATACGTTAATTGAATATCTTTCTTTGCAACGAAAGGTGATTAATTATTGGTAACACGAGTGCGAAAGCAACATTCTTTTTTCTACTGCTCTTTTCTCGTTTAACTTTTAACCAGAGTCGTAAGTTGCAACTTCATTCTCTTCCCTAGTCTCCGATACGGTAAAAATAGTTACCTATTGCAACCTATACTTGCAACAAATCATTTCGGAGTAAAAATTTTTAGAGATCCAATCGTTGCGTTGGTCAAATTTCTCTTACAAGAATAAAATAGGTTGATGAAGTTAAGGTGATTACCTACCCGAAATTTGTTGCACACATTCCACAGTGTCGTTGTAATTTCCTGCAAAAGTTCTTCCGCCTTTTGTCTCTCCGTATCCGCTTTTAATTGGCGCGATCGATGTCGTCCGATAAGCTGGTTTAGTTTCTCCGTTTCTTCCGCGTTTCTAACACACGCGGTCTCTGATCGATAGGAAGCACAGGATATTCTTGTCGAATGTATAAAACGAGGTGGAAACTCACTGTTCCGCGTCCTTCGTTTCCGAGAACTTTCTGGTCTCCATCTCGTCGATGAGCTGCAGCCTCTGCTTTTCTAACGCCATTTTCTCTTGCTCCGTGGCCACCCGCATTTTCTGCAGATTATCGTTAGTCGCTCGCTGACCCAGAAACCGGTTCAGAACGTCCTCGGACCTGGACACTCCGGTGGCACTGCGAAGCTTGGCGAACGTTTCTTCCAGTCGTGTCACCTCGTCCTTGCTCACCATGTCCTCCGTGAACTGTACGTGAACACTCTTTCCACGTGTGTCAAAATCGTCTCTCGGACGCGTATGGAATACCATCTTCTCCAAACGCTCCAGTTCCATTTTTCTCTCTAACACGCGTTGCCTGGTTGCAGTTCAGAGAATTCAGTTTAGTTTTGCTTTACATCTCAAGCAGATTTGGAGCAGAACGTTCGTTCGTCGATTCGTACCTATATTCTTCGAGAACTGCGTGGCGTTCCCTGCTGCAATTCGTAACTTCGATTTCTTCCTTTATCAATGTTTCCTGCATATGATCCTTCAACGCAATAGCTTCTTCTTTCACGCTCTATGCACGGACAATGCGTAATTAGATTAATTTATAGTTCAAGACGGAACTTCAGTTTGACAATTAGAATCACGCCTTGCCTGGAGACGTTTTATCTCGCTCTCCTGCTCCTTTATTTCGTCTTCCAGATTTTTTAACGAAGATGCGTAAAGCACAGACTTTTGCTTCAAGCCGGAGCACATCGATCGGTATTTCATTCGCGCTATGTTCGCTTTGATTTGCATCATCCGGATGTGTTCCAAAAGCACTTCCAGTTTAACAATTTTCTGTGAGAACAGGAACGAGAGAACGGATACTCTGATAATATATGCGTGAACATTTGCGATAATGTTTACCTCATTGTTCTAACTCACGTTTCGCGATGGATTCTCCGTCTTCCTCTTAAATATCTTCTGCATCTTATTGCTCATTAATTTACCATATTCATCCAGCAACGAGTGTAATTTCTGCTGTCGCTAAGAAATATTTACGCTTCCATGGATGTACATTCGCGCGAGATAATGTTTAAAGAGATCGGTATCGCGTCGCTCACCTTCTTACGTTCGTACTTAATTAGATCGTGCTTCCTTCTCAAGCGTACATTGTCCTCTTGCATTTTATTAATCGCCTCTCCTAAATTGCGTTTTTTCTCACGAGCCGAAGATTCGCGGCTCGCGTGAATTTTACTCTCCGATTTCCCCTCGTTCTGAAATGTGAGACATTTCTTACTCGATCAATCTTCCTTTTCTAATCGTCGTATTTCACAATTACGTTCTGCACACTCGCGTATTCCACGTAGAGCTCCTTGATGCTCTGCTTGAGAGTCGCGATTTTCTCCGCGTACTCGTGCTTCTTGGCCTCGTATTCCTCGAAATTCGCTTTTCTTTGTCCTTCTGCGAACGTAAGCCATGTGCTTCTTATTATTGATGCATCTTACCTCGTACGGGATGCCTAATATAAGAATAGTATCTATTCTTTGTCAAAAAGGACTTATAAGTAAAATCTACCTATCCATTCCTTATGTGGGCTTTACGGAGTGTTGTTTTGATTCAAGATAAAACTATATTTGTCAATATGGTTTGAACAACTCTTTACCTTAATGCAAATATTTTACGTTGATGGATAATATTATTCCTTGCAAAATAAATTCCTGCACTTTCTATATTTTTACGGAATTTATTTTTTTATTTATTTATTTATTTATTTATTTTTTTTTTTTGAGTAGGTTCAGAGACAACGGAGCAATAATTAAGCTATGAAACGAGACAAAACCGTTTCTATAATAATAGCCGAAGGATAGAACAAACGCCAGTCGTGACCAAACTGATATTGATGATGGATCAAGCTACGATGCATGAACATAGTTTAAACAAACTAAATTGCCCAAATTACTGAAATCACGATGTCACGATTTTCCTCAAAAGAGACTTTATGCAAGGGAAAAATATCAAATTATTTATATTATCATTTTAAGCGACTGTTAGAAGGAATCTAGGGAGGCAGTAATCGTGGTACCAGTTTCCTGAACCGTGAACTAAAATGATAATAACAAGATGACAACCTACTTACCTTACCTGGAATGTTTCTATTGAACAATTTACTGTAATTATTTGTCAATATGATCCGATATCTCGAAAATTTGTATTTTCTATATTGTAACTAAAATTTAAATAAAAATTATTTACCATTCGAAATTATACATTCAATATTCAGTATGAATATTCAATACGAATTAAAAAATGATCAACGTCAACAACTATATCATATATTATATTACATTTTATGCAAATGCTCGAGCCTGCGAACTGGAATGATATTTGCTACTTTTGCGTTTAATAGAAACGCTCACTGAAATATTCATGTTATAATTAGCATTTTGATAGCATTTGATACGTCGATACGCCAGCAGAAATTTTCTTTTCTTTCCTTTCCTTTCCGAGCAGCCACTTATGCGACACGAACGTTTTTTCCTGAACCTCTAGTCTTTCCGGTTAAACGTGTTCTTATGTATCTCTGTGCATGCAATCAGGAATTTGCTTGGGAAATAAACATTAGCGAATTGTTTTCTTTTTTTTCAAGTGACGTTATGCGAGCGTAGCAAACACTGTATATGAATATTAAGCCAGATTAAGCAAACGATCGTAACACTACTATCTCACGCAGTGTCGTTAATTTCTAAATTTTACCTGATAGCTGGATCTTTTTCTTGATCTCTGCAATCTTTTTATTCAAATCGTTTAATTTGTTTTCTACGGTGGGTGCTAACGGACCAGACATGATTGCGCACGAGAGACGTTGCCAACTAATCTTCTATTTATCGACTCAATAATACTTGGCGTCCCCCTGGCAACGACACTGCGTAGACGATCGAGCGGCTTAATCCTTAATCTTTTAAAGGTAAAGGAAATTTTTATCATATTGTTTCTTATCTCTGTGAAATGTTTTAGCCACAGTGTCCACGACTAGCGCGAGCAAACGAAAACGCTGCTGTGGCAGTCTCGATGGCGTGACAATGCATCGCTCGCAGATGTTTGTGGTTCGATGATAGGGTTAATCGTTTCATTAATAAAAACGAATGATCGTCGTGT